CCGCCCCCCGGCCGGTGCGGCAGCCCCTGCGAGCGGGCGGCGCGGGGGGCTTCGGCCGGGCGGCAGCCCTGCCTGCATGCGGCGTAGGCCCGAGGGCTGCTCCTGCACAAGCCACATTTGTATTCAGCCTGAGCCGGGCTTCACCTCCCGCCTCGGCTGGCTGTGCCGGTGCTGGCTGGCAGCCCGCCTGCCAGGCCAGGGAAAGATACACGAGTGATTAACTGCACCATCGGCGGATAATTCCCCCATTAAAAAATGAAAATGCAATTGAGTGCCATTAACGGGTGCTCTCGTGGCTTCCCCAGGGACTGGCGCCATCAGCTCCCCACCGAATCTGGTGCACGCGGCCGGCAGGCCTGGACTAGGCTCTGTCCCCCGGCACCGGGGTGGTAGCTGCGCCCGTGTCCCCTGCACCACAGCGGGTCCCTGCGGAACGGGACGGGGCAGCCTGCAGCCTCGGCGGGGACGGTGCTCACCTGCTGGGGTGGGTGACGCAGGGTCGCGCAGCCCTACCCGGGGGTGAGCCACCCCTCTGCTTCCTAACAGGGGTCGGTCGAGCTAGGATGGGTTGCATGGCCATGCAAAGGGGGCAGGCAGCGCCCTGCTTGCCGTGGCGCTGGGGTCTGGGCTCCAGTGCCTGCTGGGCAAGGGGTGGATGCATTCCTAGCCCTGGGGTTTCCTTTGCACCCCAAAGGAAATGGAATTGGGGAGCCCCGGGAGCCTTCTCGGTCCCCACCAGGCCAGGGGCAGCTGGGCTCAGCACCCTGAAGGCTCTGCCCTGCTGGCCCAGGGCCATGCGCGGAGCCACCCTGCCCAGCCTGGGGATCTTTCCCAGGGCTTGCAGGGCCATAACCTCCCCAGGCAGCATCACAGGCCCCACGGGAGCCCCAAGGGTCTCCTGGGGACTTGGAGCACAGCCCTCGCATCCTGCCACCACCTGGTGCATGATGACCAACAGCACCCAACACCAGTGCCACAGGAACAAGACAGACAAGGGGCAGGGACAGACGGGAGATGGGGAGGCAGGAGGTGGCTCGCCCGATGCGGAGGGATTGCCACTGCGGGGGTCCAGATGCTCCCAGCGCCTGGGCTGACGGAGCAGAGCCGTCCCCAGCGCACACCGAGTCCCTGCGCGCACTGCCCCAAGGGCAGTCAGCGTGACCCTCCCTGCCCCAGCGGGAGGCGAGCACCCCCTGCACCCGGCTCCCGGCTCGGGTGCATCCAGCCCATCCCCACCATGTCCCAGGGCCTCTGTGTCCCCAGGCACCTCCTGCACCCACCGCGAAGCGGCTGCGGGTGGCAGCCCCTCCCCGGCCCTGCGGGGGGAGGATGGACCTGCAGGGTGACACGCGGGTGCCGTGCAGCCCGTGCTGGGGGTTGTGTGCCCTGGGGGAGCTGGGAGGCCTTCCTGGAAGGCTCGTCCCCATCCCCCCTCCCCGTGGCCGAGTGACGTCCTTGCTCAGTGGCAGAGCGAGTGGCGAGGGGCCCCGCGGAGGAGCCTTGCCGCTGCCAGGCATGCTCCTGACGCGGAGGGGATGACGCATGCAAAGCCTCGTCTCCAGGTCCGTGACCACCGGCAGCGGGGCTGGAGGGAGCCATGGAGCAGCCTCCATTTGCTATCACGGCTCAGGAGGGCAGGGAGGGCAGAGGGGAGCACGGGGACCAGAATGGGGTGGGGGGGAAGCCTGGGGAGAGGGTCAGAGCCCAGTTCCTGAGGATGGCGCCGGGCAAAGGCGGTGCCAGGCATCTGCCCTGTCCCTCTCCGGGGACAGCGCTGCCCGGAGTGCCAGGGACACGCAGGGCGCTGGCAGCTCTGCAGGCAGGAATGGAGCCCTGTAGGTGAAGCCCTGGGGAGCCCCAGGTGGCAGGGGCAGGACTGGGGGGACAGA